CTTCTATCTCTATAACTATGGTAAAGTTTAATTTATCAGTGATGAACAGTAAGATACTAACAACAGTATTAATAAAAAATGTTTGGGATTAGAGAGATGGCTCATCAGTTAAGAGCACTGGCTGCTCTTAGAGAGGACCTAGGTTTGATTCCCAGCACCCACATGGTGGCTGACAACCATCCATAACTCCAGTTTCAGGGGATTCAGTGCCCTCTTCTGACCTCTGTGGGCACTGCATGACACAGGTGTACTGACCTACATGCAAACAATACACTCATACACATAAAATAAAGATAATAAAATATTTTTTAAATAGAAATGTATAATTATATATATATATAATAAAAAGTGTGCAGCTGTGCTCTCAAATACAGCTTTTAGTACTTCCACTTTTTCATTTGAAGGAAGCACTTTTTATGAGTTCCTTTTGTTAGCATCACCATTAGTGTGCTTAAGGGACATTTTTAAGTAAAATACAGGTTATGTGAATGTATGCACTATGACATCAGGACAGTAGCTCTGATAACCAGTATGGGACTTGTATTACATACAGTGGGACAGGTATCAGATGAGGTGGAGCGGGACAGCAGGGGATCTCCTCACACTACTCAAAGTGGTTATCAACTTAAAAGTTATAAAGTATTTCTGGAATTTTACATATTTGGACTGTGGTTGACTGGATAACTGAGCCCAGAAAGCAAAACCACAGAAAGGATAGTCGTTTTGTCAAATCCATGTTGTAGACTATTGTTTCACCTTGTTACATAACCATCAGATGCTTCCACCTATGTATGGCTATAAAATTGAAATTTTGCCATAAAATTGAGCACTACTGTACAATCTAGTTCCAGGGTTATTCTCAAATCCGAGATATTTCTCCTTCTTTCCTGAAAATAGCTCGACTTTGCCTCTTATATTGCTTTTACTCTCATGATACAATATTAATATGCTTTTCTCTAATGTTCCCTCATTCACTCCTTCAAATCTTGTCCAAGTGTAGATCTCAGAGTAATTATTCCTGGCATTGGAGTATTTAAGTGCTATTTTACACATTCATTTAGCTACCTTGTAACATTAAATTATCATAGTAGGTGTATTTTAGCTATTTATGTGTAAATACCTGTCTTACACTACTCAGGGCCTATTACTAAATAATGTGTAAAGCTTTTAAGATCCGCATATGCACATATTTATGTAAATAAGCATAGATACACATGTATCTATTTTATAAACTAGCCTATGGGTATCCATCATTATATCTAACTATAAAATTCAAATATTTGTCAAAAGAATCTTTTTTTTTTTTTTTTTGTGAGATGGCTCAGTAGGTAAAGGTACCTGCCTTCAAGCCTGACAACCTGGGTTGGATCCCTGCATCCCTCATGGTAGAAGGAGAGAACTGACTCCTACAGGTTGTGCTGTGACCTCAACACAGGCACTCTGGCACATGCCTGCTCACAACAACACCACACGCACACGCGCACACACACACACACACACACACACACACACAAATCTAATAAGAACATGTTTAAAGAACAAATCTTGTCTTTATGCTTTGGTGCTGGCTCCCCCCAGGATTGACACCATCATCATTTATTGTTCGGTATCTGACAAACATGTCTTAGGATTTTCCTCAAGGGAAAACAAGTAATTCTAAAAGTTGAACAGGATAGAATTTGCACATAGAAATTAAAATTTAAGTAAATAAATAGTAGTAAGTTTGAAACAAGTTTATTTTGAAAAAGTTTAAAAATAAGCAAATGACAGCCTTTGAACAACTGAACTGTAGCTTCAAGCATGCCCTTTCTTACGTGCTACTGCTCTGAGCTGCCATCAATGGTTTTGCTCCTGTACGTACATAGAGTTGACCTGCCATCCTTAGGTGACCTTCGGGTATTTACTGTTTTCAAAATTAGGATATTAACCGGACTGGAGAGATGGCTCAGCAAGTAAGAATACTTGCTGTTCTTTCAGAGGACCCAGGTTCAATTCCCAGCATCCATGTGACAGCTAACAAACATCTGTATGTAACTCCAGTTCCAGAGGATCCAATGCCCTCTTCTGGTCTCTACAGGCATTGCACGACATAGGTGCAGGCAAAACGTACACATAAAATAAAAATAATAAAGTATTTTTTAATTAGGATATTAAACATTACATGAAACATTATTCTGGAAAATACTTCCACAGAGATTCCATCAGAATCAGAGGGATCCATTGCCCAAAAAGAAGCTAAGATCTTCATGAAAACTATGCACAGCATCTATGCTTTACTCTGTATTTCCAGTCTTTCAGATGTCTGAAAGTCTTTAACTTTCTTTCTAAATATTTTATTTGTTTCAATACCCTTACATGCCTGTTATATAACAGATTTTGCACCCTTCAGTCTTACTGGGTTCTAATTTCTTCTATCTAGATAAATTGTCATGAGCCAATTGGCCTAACTTTCAATGTTGTGCAATTGTACAGTGTGATTATATATTCTTTACTGAGCTGCAGTTTTTTTAATAGAAACTATATATATTAGCATATCTAATATCAGTGCTCATGATTTCCTTTACTTATGCATGCATATCTCTCTCATACATGCATGTGCATATGCACATTTCTGAGAGTTCTGTCCTGACTAATCACTAGTGTGCTTTGTGGTCCAGAAACCTACCATTCTTCAAAAACTTCATTAAAAGCCCCAAATACTTAAAACAGTTGTTACACGAAAGTACAGCTGTTTAATAGGTCTAATACTGTGGTATATTTTTCCATTTCATTGTTACATAAAAAGATAGAATTCAGATGACTGCCTGCATGCTTACTAGAGAAAATTATAATAATCCAGCTCAAGGCTTTTTTCTCTTTGTCATCCTTAGCATTCACTTTGCAAGTCCAATATAATCTTCCTCTCTAGAGTAATCTTTGGCCTCATAAAAGCAATAAAGTTAGCTCGTTTCAGATTGTTTTCCCAGTTTTCAGGATAGGGCTTAAAAATCTCTTGTGTACGCTCACTCTTGTATTCAATTGATTTTGGAGAACTTAAGTTAAATAAGTAAATTCTCAAAATACATATTCCATAAAAATGAGAAATGACCAACAGTATATTTATGAAGTATATTTTTGTGACACTTAATGAGCTGAATACTAAGGATACTTTGTAACTAAATAGCAAGTCATATTAAAATAGTAAGTGATGTTAAAATGCCATACATCATATATGTACAGAATTCTGTTCCTCTTAACGGATCATGTTAATGACTTTATGCATAATTTTAGAGGTAAACTAGAATTAATTTTATATCTCTTAAATGGTAATTTAGATATAAATAAAAGTAATGTAATATTTAACATTCCTTTGTCTTTAAATCACTTCAATTAAAATTAAACACTGAAAATAATTTTAAAATAATTTTATCCTTTTAGGTACAGCAATTTGGGAAATAATACCTCAGCTTTTGCTAGGTAGATAAGTAAACACAGTCAACTCTCAATCATTCAGACTAAAGGAGGAAAGGATGGAACAGGAATTGCCATTTTTCTAGCCCCTGCCCCTTCAGACATTGCTGAGAGCCTCATTCCAAACAAAGTTTTTTGCTTTCCATCTTGATCATGGCACATTTCCTAACCCTTATTTCCAAGGATTCCATGAAATATGGCTTATAATTGAGCTGACAGGAAATTTTCATGCTATAATCTGTTCCTCTTTATGTACATTTTTAAAGTCACTGCCTTAGCTCTTACAGTATTAAAGACATGAAAAGTTGATAACATGCTATTAAGATGCTGATGACTCATAAAATAGTTTTATATAAAACGTCTTATCTTTGAATTTCGATTTTCAGATAATTATAACATTTCAAAAGCATTACCTCATGGTACCAAATTGCTTTTTAAATTTTGTAATATGAAATTTTTATGAGAAGGTTTTTATCTTTAAGAGTCTTTCATAGAAATTCTTCCAACTTTTTGGATCCTAATGTGTATAATATTTCTGAGTACTGTGTAACTGTTTGTAAAGTGAAGAAATGCTGAAGGAATTTATGTGTGAAAACAGTATGTTGCATGTATATAATACGTCATTTTCTCTGCCAATTACCAGCACGCATTGTGCTAGTATCCAGACATAAGCATTCATGGGAATTCATGTATCTGGATAACTGCAACTTGAAATAAACACGCCTGCCTTTTATTTCAGTAACTGCACATTCAAATCCACCTGACATTTATTTGAATGTGACCTCCATATAAGTGAGAGAACATTGCTTTCAGCATTTGATTTTCTTTTTGTTGTTGTTGATGTTTTGTTACTGTTGATTTAAATCGAAAGGAGATACAAATTTATGAGTTGTTTCTCTGGAAAACTGAGCATGCAGAGAAAAGGAAATTCAAAGATAACATTAAAATTACTTTGTCTTATTATGCTTTGTCTCAGTGTATACTTTAATTAGATTCTTATAAGATGCAGTGATGCTTAAAGCCAAAGTAGTAAAACCATGAATTGACCTGGAGTTTGGCCTATATTAATCTATCTTAAATAATGTAATCATTTTCCTTCCAGAACAAAGTTGTCATTCTTTCATTTGGGGAATACTGTTTGTTTTTTTTTTTTTCTCAGTAAGCTGTTCCCTTAAAAAGTATACTCCAATGTGTATCTGAGCTTAAAGAAATCCTGTTTCCTATTAGGTGGGGGAAGTATTTGTTACAAAATTTTAAAATGTCTGTATTGTGGTTTCTTCCATATCCTCTCCCAAATTAGGCCATACATTTCTGTTTTATCTGACATAAGACATAAAATTAGCTTTGAATTTCCTGATTTTCATTGCATGTACATTTTCGATCACACATAATAGTTTCAGATCAGATTCTAGCTTGTATTTTGCATGATAAAGCCATAAACATTCTAGTACTGCTACAAAGAATTTATAGCTATGGTTCTGTTGTTGCCTAATTGCTTCAATTTATAAGTGAAGACTGATTTTGTGTGTGGATTTGTCTTTCTGCCTTAGGGAGTGAACTACTTTATGTCCAAGGGTATCTTAGATGACTCACCGAAGGAAATAGCAAAATTTATCTTCTGTACAAGAACTCTAAATTGGAAAAAACTGAGAATCTATCTTGATGAAAGGTAAAACAAATATTAAATACTCATCAGAAATGGGTTAAGTAATGCTTTTGTTAACTTTTAAGACTATACTACATAGCAATAATCTAGTTGCAAAACTAAGTAAAAAGATTACTATTTCTTGTAATTTATTCTGAGGTTTTAACATGTTGATGAAGAAGTTGCCATTATAAAAGTAAAAACTAGCCATACATGGCCTGGAATAATGGTTGTACAGTTATAATTATGACACTCGGAGATTCATGTCATGCAGGAGGATCTCATATTTGTAGCCAGCCTGAACCATATAGGGAGACACTATCTCAAAAAAAAAAAAAAAAAAAAAAAAAAAAAAAAAAAAAAAAAAAAAAAACAGAAAGATAAACAAAGTGGTAGCCCAATATCTTTCCAATAGTAGACCAAAAGGAAATCAAACATCTTTGTGGAAATTCCAACATTGACCATTTCTTAATGGTTAGCTGTAATCTGTTTAGATAACTAGTTCTAAATCTTAAAATTGTCCATTTAAAAATCTATTATAAGACCATGCATAATGGTGCCACCTTTAATCCCAGCATTCATTCAGGAGGTAGAAACAGGTGGACCTCTGTGAGATCAAGGCCAGCATGGTCCATATAGTGAGTTCTAGGCTAGCTGTGGCTACCAGGGAGACTTTATCTCAAAAAACAAGCAAAAAAAAATGTATTATAAAGACAAATTGTCATCATGAACCTCAAAACCTAGGAACTCTAAGGATATGTACATATTTTCATCAGAATATTATACAGAACTGTCGTGCATGTTTAAACATTCTGCAAAGGTGATAGTTCGTAATGTTACACACAGGCGAAGATGATGGATTGTACTCCATCTGATCAGATTGCTATTCACTTATGCCCTTTTAGTCTATTAATAGAACAGAAGAGTATTGGAAAATTCTGCTACAGAATAATAGATAAACTAGCATTTTTAAATTATTGTCTAATACTAAACTAATAAATGGTTTTAAAACACACTTTCTTTTTATTGTAATTCTCGATCTTTTTTATTTCTCTGAAGTTTCTACACTAATTTACAAACATAATTATATATCAAAAGTTTTCTAGAGAATAGTAGTATAAAGATTGGTAAGGATTCAGTCTTTATTTTGAGGCATAGCTACACCAGCATACTGGTCATTGAAAGAAGTCTCTTAGAAGAAATGAACTATTTTGTCTTTAAGTGATAAATATCTAAGGCTTAACAGGTATTCTGTAGATCTTTCTGTAAATATTTTAGTTTTGTTGACCTGATCACTGTTTCACTTGCTTGTAACTGCCATTTGTATTGTGAAAGTAGACATAGGGTAGCTGTAAACAAAGGAGTGGGCCCTATTCTAATAAGTGTAGTTGCAAATACAGGCATTCAGTCAAATTTTGCATACTAGCTATGGTTTGCCCACCCCTGCTATAAGCAATTGGTTAAAAAATGAAGATTGTGATCTGTATTAGTCACTTTTCTGTTGCTGTGATAGAAACACCATGACCAGGGAAACTTATAAAAGGAAGAGTTTATTTAGCTTATGGTTCTAAAGGGACAAAAGTCCATCATGGCAGGGAGGCATGGCAGCAGAGGTGGCTGGAGTAGGAGCAGAAGCTAAGCGCTCACATCTTCAAGCAGGCACAGGAAGTAGAGAGCCACCCAAGGTCCAGCAAGGTGTAAGAACTCTCTAAGCCCACCCCCAGTGACATGCTTCCTCCAGCATGGCCACACCTTCTAAGACCTCCCAAAACAGCGCCACCAACTGGGGACAAAAATGTCCAAATACTTGGAGCCTGTGGGGTCATTCTCATTCAAACCATCACACTATTTCAGAAAAAGAATAAATGATGCCTCCTCACACCCTCAAGAAAGAGTTGCTTCTTTCCACATAACTTTTTATCTAAGTCAAATAGCATTAGAATTTCTTATGTTTTTTAAACTTTAGGGAATCTTCCTCTACTATAACATGTCACATTTGCAAAGATAGCAGCTATTTACGTAGACTTAAAAATGTCACCACAAACTATGCATTGTTTTATAATCTGCTCTTCCTTATAGACATAGTCTATTGTGAAGATTTTTGACTTTATAAATAGATATACCTGTTCTTTTCAGTGACTGTTTGGTATTCCATCTTATGGATAAAATAATCCTATTGATATACATTTAGGTATTTATAATTGTGTAAATATATGAATATATATTATATATAGCTTAACCAATAGCATGCTAATGTATAGTGACTCTTTGTAACAATATCCATCAACTGTTACTCACCATGGGTGTATGATCATGTTGCTATTAGCAACTTTTCTGTTGCTGTGATATAAACACCATGGCCAAGGGAACGTATAAAAGGAAGAGTTTATTTAGCCTATGGTTCCAACAGCGCAAGAGTCCATCATGGCAGGGACACATGGCAGCAGAGGTGGCTGGAGTAGGAGCAGAAGATAATCTCTCACATCTTCAGGCAGGCACAGGAAGCAGAGAACAACCCAAGATCCATTAAGGCTTAATAAGTTTCTAAGCCTGCCCCCAGTGATGTGCTTCCTGTCCAACATGGCCACACCTTCTAAGACCTCCCAAAACAGTGCCATCAACTGAGGACAAAAATGCTCAAATACTTGAAGCCTATGGGGTCATTCTCATTCAAACCACCACAAATAGGGTCTTGGCTATCTGTAGCCTAGGATGGCTTTGAACTCCTGATCCTCTTGCCTCAGCTTCTTGCTGAGATATGTGCCACCACACTCAGCTAAGCAGCCCTGTTTAATACTTCAAGTTTTATTTTGTCAGTAGAATTCCATACTGGACTTGTTTGATTTTGTTTAACATATTCATGAAAGATTTCAAATTTGTTTACTGTGGTAAAGAAAATCACACTTAATGATTTTAAAGTATAAGGATTATAGAACTACCAAATCTAGGGATCAATGATCGAGGACTTTTATGTGAAATAAAAAGACAAATTAAGATTTTTCTTTAAAAAAAATAAAACAATAAAACATTATCTGAAGCTGCATCTTTTTCTCTTTCTGTAGGAGAGATGTCTTGGATGACCTTGTAACTCTGCATAATTTCAGAAATCAGTTCTTGCCAAATGCACTGAGAGAATTTTTTCGTCATATCCATGCCCCAGAAGAACGTGGGGAATACCTTGAAACTCTTATAACAAAGTTCTCACATAGGTTCTGTGCTTGTAATCCTGATTTAATGCGAGAACTTGGCCTTAGTCCTGGTAAGAATGTGTGTGTATGTGTGTGCATGTATATATTGGTAGAGATATAGTATACTGTTTTTCCCACTCCAATCTCCAGGTAAAAATAATCTTACTATAAGGCTTTTTTCTCACTTTGGGAAAAAGCACCTCCACAAAGTATAAATACTAGTTTCACTGTTGTAGCAATGACTGCATCTGTGCAAAATGTCATTTACTGTGGACTTAGAAGGTATTTACTTATCCCTTTATAATAGCAATATAGAAAGTTAAACTTAACTATGTAAATTCTTTAAAATTATTCTTGAGCATTATTTTTAACCATTCTAATTGAAAATGTATAAAATTATTTTTGAAGCTTTAAATAAACCACAAATGGCTAACCGTTTTTTTTTTAATTTATGATATTTTTGTTTTATGTTTATGAGGGTTTTGCTAAATGTATGTAATACACCACATGTGTGCAGTGCCTGTGGAGAGCAAAAGAGGGCATTGGAGTCCCCTGTAACTCGAGTTATGGATAGTTGTTAGCCACCATGTGGGTGCTAGGATCCAAATCTTGGATCTCTGTAAGAGCACCAAGTGCCTTTAACCACTGAACCATCTTCCCAACCTGATAGCAATGTTTCCCTAAAAATTTACTTTTGAAGTTAATTACAGATTCTACAAACCTTTAAAATACATCTCTTAAATGAGAATATTAATTTAATACCCTTAAATTATTTGCATTCTATTTTTTAAATTTTTACTTTATTTTGTGTGTGTGTGTGTATTTTGCCTGTTTAAGTATACATGTGTGCAGTTCCCACAGAGGGCAAAAGAGGGCATCAGATCCCCTGGAACTGGAGTTACAGATTGTTTACTGGCTTGTGGGTGCTGGTAACCTAACCCAGGCCCTCTGCTAGAGCAGTCAGTGTTCTTAACCACTGAACCATTTTGCCAACCCTGCATTCTGTTTTTATTGCCAAGTTAAAATATTTCACATCATTAAAAATTCTTTCAAATTAAATTAGTTTTTTTGTAAAAATATTCTATGTAAATAAATATCGATTTTTTTTTAAACAGTGAAGATAATCTGATGGTAAACTATATTGGCTAATTGGATATAAATTGCCTAATTGGATATACATGTCACATTTGCACAAAAAAAAAATTCCTGAAATGTTTAATCTGGAATGACTTTTCACTATGAACTTCTAAACCACTCTGAGTCTTTTGAAGTGGAGATAATGTTCAATGAATTGACACTCAGACTGGGTCATGTCAATCTTCAGTTTGCCCAGTATTAAGGTATTTTCCAGGACACTGGACTTTCAATACTGAGCTGTAGTGAAAACCTGGGCAGCTGGGGATGAGTTCGTCACCCTTTGTGACCTTTAGCTATTTTTGATTAGCTAAAAATTTGAAGTGTTTTCCTTTTCCTTCCAGATGCTGTCTATGTACTGTGCTACTCTTTGATTCTACTTTCCATTGACCTCACTAGCCCTCATGTGAAGAATAAAATGTCAAAAAGAGAATTTATTCGAAATACCCGTCGTGCTGCTCAAAACATTAGTGAAGATTTCGTAGGACACCTTTATGACAACATCTACCTGGTTGGCCATGTGGCTGCATAAAAGCACAACTGCTGGAACTTCACCGTTTTACTCTAGACTAAAGCTACCCAGGACTTGCTGAGCAGATATGATCTGGGGGTTCACCAGTGCTGGTCCTTCTGGCCGCTGTATGCAATCAAGCTTGACTACACAGCCTCGTTATTTCACTGTTTTCTTTTTTAGGGATTTCCTTGGGGAACTAAATAATTTTTTAAAATTTTTCTTAATTTTGCTCATCATGTTTGCACAGAACAGAGCCATTGTCTGACGTAGCTGTTAAATACTGTTAAACTGACATATATTCTATAAAATGGTGTGTTTGTGCATTAGATTTGCCTGAAAACTATTTCCATCCTTTTTAATGCCATGTAATGTATACATATTTAACGAAAGAGATTTATAATCATAATTATTTTATTGTAAAGATTTTAACTAAAGTTTTTCCTTTTCTCTCAAACTGAGTTTGGAAATTTATTTGATTCTGATCTGAGAAGATTGTTGTCTTTGTAAAAGTTGGATCTGACTTAAGATACCAATACCAGCTTTCCATTTTTTTGAATTTTTGAAAAGTGTAGATTTATTACTATATTACTATGCAAAACTGGTCTTATTTGTATAGTATATATCATTTAATTCTTCATTTTTAAAACCTCTGAGTTAGTCAAATTTCAATAAGTCCTTTAAACATTTAGAATACACAAATCTATCAGAATTTAGAAGTTACACATATAAACAGAATAAAAATATTATTAGAATGCTGGGAAACCTTTGCTTGCTTATATGCTTGTATCTGAAATACTTTCTTAACTATTTTCCTGATCATCTCCTTTTTTTTTTTTTTGAGACAAGGCCTCCCTGTAGCCCTAGATGGGATGGCCTGGAACTTGCTATATAGACCAGGCTGGCCTAGAACTCAGAGAGATCTCACCTGCCTCTGCCTCTGCCTCCCGAGTGCTGAGACTAAAGGCCTGTGCCACCATGCCTGCCTTTGTTTACCTCTATTCAGCGTTAAATGATGAAGGGATGTAGTGAATGGTAGTATACACTCTTTTTTATTATTGTACATACTTTTAATTTATGTGTGTGAGTGCTCTGCCTGCATGTATGTACCTAGTGCATACCCACAGAGGCCAAAAGAGGGAGTCAGTTCCCCTGGAACTGGAGTTACAAATGCGTGTCAGCTGGGAACCGAACCTGAGGTCTTTGGGAGGGCAGTAAGTGCTCCTTAAACACTGAGCAATCCCTCCAGCCCCAACTCTTCTGTTCACCAAATATTTATCAAGGGCTTTCCATGTGCTGTGCACTATGCTAGGTACAGTGATGCCTAGACATGAGCTCTGCATTCAAAGATGTTACATGATTGGGTAATGAAAGAAAAATTATAAAATTTTTGCTCATTACTTAATAGAGAGCAAATGTATTAACTGTATCTTAACAATTATTTAATATTAAAAGACACAGCATTGGATTGCTAGAGATCATGCATGTCTGTGGTATATCAAAGTCACTTCTACGTATAAAGCAAAGCTGAGTGGTGATGCGTGGAGGTGCTGACTACAGGAAGGGAGTAGAGCAGATACTCACGAGGTGTGCGGGATCCTGACCCTAAGTCAATAGCAGAATGTTTTTGTTTTGTTTGTGTATTTTTTACAGAATTTTTGTGTATTTCATACAAAACCTCTTCATCGTCTTTATACCCCCTCCCCCATCTGCACCCTCCCATAGCACCCCCCGCACTGGATTTCATTCATTCTGTCATTTATGTTAAGGCTTATTGAGTCAAGTAAGTATACTCAGACATCCCTCAGTGCAAGTACACGATAGCAGGTTTTAATATTACAATGGTAATGGCATACTATAGATTTTTCCAAAGACAACATATAAGATATTAAATAAGTTTTTGATGTCAGGGGTACTTTTAAACTGGTAGGAAACAATTTCTAGATTCTCAAAAAAAATTCTAAACTTTTATGTGTGCATAATTTTCAATTTCATGACAAAATAATTTCTAATGTTATACTTCAAATGTATTTATTTTCTAGTGAGTGATTTAGTGACCTCTCCCTCTGTCCACCCCTTTTTGTACTATTCCCCTCTGCTTGTTCATTCACTCTCCCTCTTCACCGTGTCTCAATTTGACTATCTTTATTTAAAGGATCCTGCTATTTTCCTGTTTAATTTTTCCACTCTGACTTCCTTTTTTCCAACATCATTTTTTTATGGAAATTTTCAAACAGAAAACTGAAACATTTTATGGAAAATGCCTATATATGCCACCTAGATTCTACCATTGCAACTTTACTATATTCACTTTATCATATGTTTATCCACCCTTCTGTCCATCCATCAACATAGCTTAATGGTTTTATACATGTCAAAGTAAGTTTCAAAAATCAATAAAATTTCTTACTAAACACTTCAACTTTTATATTCACTAATTAACATTTTTTAGCTTCTTTTTACTTTCAGATAAAATTTGCATTCAAGAAAATGTAAAAATATGTGTACTACTCAATGAACCTTTACAAATGCATATGCCTGTGTAAATTAATGTTATACAAGTTTAAATAATGATAATATTGTATCACGTCATATGAAATTCTCCACCCAAAATCTTATAGTTATCATATATGTTATAGCCAGAAGCATGATATTGGAAAGCATCTGTACTTTAAGTGAGTTAAAAAAAATTCGTATTCACCCAAGATATAATTTCAAATACTTTTTTTCTTTCCTGAATATCCAAGAGATGATTTACAGTATTTCTCATTTCAAAATGAAAAACAAACAAACAAACAAAAAACATTATAGTTGGGACCTGCTAGAAATTATCAGTTTTATTTAGAAATTTCATTCTTTTTTAATAAATTTTGCTGAATGCATAATTCTGGTTTAACATTTTTCCCATACATGCACTTTTTTTTAAGAGGGAGAGGATTGATTTATTTTTCATAGTTCAAGGACAAGGAAGGCATGGCAGTTGAAACCAGCTTGGACTTGGCATGGGATGTGTGACATGCAACACAGCCACCATACATCTCTGCAGGCTGTAACCAAAAATCCAAGTTTCCACAACTTTCCAATGCAGCACTATCAGTTAGGGACCAAGTATTCCAACATGTGAGTCTGTTGGGAACATTCCACATTCAAACTATCACATTCTTCTTGACCCCTGTTAGGCTTATGGCCATCTCATAATGCAAAATACTTCAGTTCAACTTCAAAAATACCCTAGTGTTTTAGTCCCAACACTGTTCAAAAGTCCAAAATCCAAAGTCTCTTCTAAACTTAATACAATCTCTTAACTTTGAGTTTCTATAAAATTAAAAAAGTACATACTTTTCATATGAATTGATATAAATAATTCCATTCCAAAAGAGAGGAATGTTATTGAAGCAAGCAAAGATTGGTTCAAAGCAAGATCAAAACCCATCAGGGAAAATATCAAACCCTACACCTCTACGTCTAGCATCTGGAGCTAATGTTGACATCATTTATGCTCTAACAGACTTGCATAGCCTTATTCCTCCATCTCTGCCATTTTGCAGTATGCATGATCTTCTTAGAACAGTGGCACTCAGTCCTTCAGCTTTCCTCTGCACACATCCCATGTTTCCGGCACTTTTATCTTGAGGTCTTTATCGAATTAATAGACTTCAGGTTCGTGTATAGGACTCAGGACCACTACACAGGGAACTGGATGCTTCTCAGCATTCAGGGGGCACCTGAATGGGCATCTCGGCATTCTAGAACTTTCAACAAGCTTCTGTGACCCCATATTTTGCTCTCTCCCTCTCTCCCTCTGCCTCTGTTCTACCTCCCCAAGGCTGGTCTAGAGCTCACTATATAGTCCAGGCTGACCTTGAGCTCACAGAAATCCTCCAATCTCAGCCTCTGGGATTATAGGCCATGAATCACCATTTGTCCACAGTTTGTAAGATTTTTTCTCTGATAGCCCTAGTCTCTTTAGGAATTATCACCGCTTTTTCCTCAGCCACGTTGTCCACAATTTTAAATTTATTCACTCTCCTTTTCTTGCCAACTCACATTTTCCACATCTTTCAGCTATCTTCTGTAAATCTAGCTAAGAACAGTGATCTCTAACCAAGTCACAGACTATTTCCTCTGCCTAACAGTTATTTTTAAATTCATTCTTACTAATTTTGAGGACAGGGGCAGATCACAGCCAGCTGCTTTTCCAGATTGTAGCATAAATGACCTGTATTTCAGTTCTTAGTGGAGTCTCTGTTCCCCTCTGAAACTGCATGAGCACAATCTTTACTGTCTGTATTTCTAGTGACATTCTCATTTAAGTCAATTCCCTTCGGAGTAGCCCACTTAAGCTCTGTTTACAACACCCTAGAGCTTCTCTAGTCTTGGCTCCAAACTTTTCCACACTGCTCACAAACCAATTCCAGAAGCTATTGATGCACATGGTTATGTTTATCACAGCACCAGCCCCAGTTCTTGGTATCAGTATATATTAGTTAATTTTCTTGTAGCTGGACAAAATACCTGATAGAAGTAACTTAAGGGAGAAAGAGTCCCCTTTATGCAGTTTAAAAATAGTTCCACTCTCCTGATCTCATGTTCCAAGTGAAAGGACACTAGTATTCAAACTGGCTTCCTCCCATGTATAATGTCAGTCATCTTTGGTTTTTCTCTCTTTTTAA